AAAAATAAATATATTCAAGAATGCCGGTCCACAAGTAACTAGCATACAACTACCTTATCATTTAAACAATATTGTATCTACATACATACATATATATATATATATACATACGTATATGCGTTGTTCATATTGCATTGCAAAGGGAAAATCATTGTTTTCACATATAGAACTCAATTACGTTTACCGTATCGTATGCTTTTTATTGTACTTCTGAGCAAATATGTTGAATGCGATGCAAGCGATGGGTATGCAAGATTCGTTCTGGAACGTTATAAGTTTTTTTTATTTTTTTATTATTTATTTCATTGTATTTTTAGCAGCTACTACACCACACCAACACAAAACTCTTTTGATAGTATTTTTATTTCAAAAGCTCTCTAAAATTTTTCATTTGTGTTTTGACCCAGTTGTAAGGCGGCTTGTAATAGGCAGCTTTGGCACAGTACGTACTTCTTTTTTTTTCTATTATCTTCTTAAGGAAATGTTAACAATACCAACAGCAACGAAACTCCTCGTCCTTTTTTTATTTTGTTGTTGTTGTTTTTTTTTTTTTTTTTTTTTTTTTATTTATTTGTTAAAAGTGTTAGCAAAGAGAATCTCTTTTGTTATAAATAGACTCTAAAATTCATTCAAGATATAATGTTAAAATTCTTCTACGTTCCTATAAACGTAAAATATAATGAATTTTAAGACTTTCTTTACTATTGCGAATTTGTATTTATTTTAGGCGATTATACAAAGGGATGCCATAATAATGATTGTGACGACTGGCATGATAAAATGCTAACCTTTAGCTGCAAGCTATAAAACTAACAATCACACGACATGCGTCCGACAACTACCGTTGACTTTCTTATAATAGGCCATCGAAAGCTTCAAATAAATAGCATACAAATACATGGTAGATGCAGATATTTATCATATAATTTGCAAAAATTACTTCACTGCTGGTATATTAAGGTCGTTTTCTCTTTAAAATACGCTGCATGTTTTGCTTAATAATATGCCGAATATCACATTCGCAAATGCATACCGTGACGTGGGACGAAAAAACCTATAATTATGGAAGATTTCACCAATGATTTTTTTACCGTTTAGGTTATAATTTAACCTTACGGACAACAAACGATGACTTTCAACAGCTTCAGCAAAAAGAATCCCTACCGCAAAAACTATGCTTTTTCAGCATATAGCTCGGCATACGGTTCACAATTCGACTAGATTTTATTATTTTTAATAGGCCGAACATCAAACGGACATACACACAATATTATTCGTACAGGCATAAAATATTAGTTACTCATTTTCTCGAACATAAGTTTCTTCTTGCCAACAGATATTCGTCTAAATACTTCTAAAACATGAAAATGAAATCGTCGCTCGTAAAGCGAGACCTATTTATCACTTTATACATTTTACGCTCCTGCGATCTTGAAGGCTAGGAAAGATAAACCTCGAGAGAGAAGAGGACCTTAATTGGCCGCTTAACCCCAAGATAACTTGATAACTCAATCATTTTACAAGACGAAAGGTAATGCTTTAGGCAGCATATAGCTTGTGCTTCGATCCTCCATATAACCTCGGCTCGAAAATCGTTATTATGCGTGAAGAAATATTGACATAGCGCAGCTCGTATTATGGTTTCGTCCTAACTACTAACACAGTATGTACGGTAAGAAATTCGTTCTCTATATCTGCGAAAGATGTGCACATCTTCCAACACAATTGGTTTACAACTTTTCAAGGAAAGATGCCCGACGGCAGTAAGACCTTATCGATGCAATAATATTGCAAACTATGTAAGCGAAATTGGATTGTTTTGCAAATCATTGAATTTGAAGTTTAAAAAAAAGCTCTTAGAAGTTGGGCATAATTTCAACATTAGCCAATTAACAGGTTCACAGGTACTTTCGAAAACTTACCAGCTTATTATCGAATACATTTCGCATTAAAAATTTTGAAAATTTTAAATATTAGTTGAAAATTCATTACAACACAACATTTGCTTATGGCCTTTCTCTCTCTCTCTCTCTCTCTATCTCTCGCGCTCTTACTCTCGCGCTCTTACTCTCGCTTTTCATCAAATTCCTTACCAAAATGTGAGCACATTTCGTTTCTATTCCATCTTCATCAGGCAGTGTTCATCGTAAGCCCAAACAAGTAAACAATAAAGCCAATTAAACGAACGGATTAATACAATAACAAAGAGAAATATGTAAATATTTTTCAAATGAAAACCCACCCATCCAAGGAGAAGCAGAGAAACCACAGTGAATTCAATTGCTTGAAGTAGATCTCATTAACATTTAAATTACTAAGAGCCTGTTACCCATTCCTATCTAAAAATCCTTCAGTATCTTCTCCATGTATGCATGTATGTATGTATGTATTTATATATGTATGTATGTATAAACAATACCAAGAATTTATAAAAGAAAAGCTACAGAGTAAATAACAACCGACGACCAACATTAAGCGTACACATATAAGTAGTAGCTGATGTAATCAATTCAGGTTTAAGCATACAAGTGTAAACGTTAGAATTTTCGAGTTTACATACTATACATTTTTTGTATATAATTATGTATGCCCGTAATGCATGTAGGTGCGCTTATATGAATTACATGCATAACAATGCATAAAAAAAAAAAAGTGTTTCTTATGTTGGCTGACATGTATACCAAGTGCAACTACAAAAATATCTCTGCTATATACAGATTTGTAAATAGACGCTTACATTGCTATTGTGTGCCTGTTAAAAGCATTTTAACTCATTGTCGTTTTCAAGGCAAACCGTTTCGGTCCGCTTCAAATTGTTTACGCAAATAAACTCGAAATGCTTTAGTATTGTTTGGCGTAATCGTTTTCCTTTTTTTGGCAGTTAACGGCAAGTGTTGTTGTACATTTTGATGCCACGTCAGTGGCACGTTATTTTTTCCGTGATGGCTATTCTTTTCATGTTTTTCTATGACCAATAACATTAATATTTTTCGTTAGATATTAAATCATGTCCTGCCAACTTTTTAAAGTACCGTCCTTATGAAAATGTAGAAGACTTTCTCGTCTCCTCAGTTCATTGATATGAATAATTTCGTAGCACTTAGTCAATCTGTTCTTTTCGCGGCAGAAAGTATTTTGATAGCTCCCATTATACTTAAGCATTATGCCGAAGTCGTTCCGTCCGTACATTTGGCAAACATATAGAATGACGTGCATTTAAGTCAATGCGAAAATTCGTGAGAAGAGAGAGTAAGCAAAATTTAATGATACTTTGAATGTAAGAGATAAGAAAAATGGTGAGAAAGACTGAGGAAGAAAGCAGAAACAAGTCGCAAATTGCAACGTGTGCATAAAGAATCCTTTTAAGCAAAGTTGTGTTTTAGAAATGATTAATGAACGCAATATCGTTACAAAGACATTGGCTTCCAAAAATGTTCCGATCTGGTAAGCTAGTCAGGAGTGCTGTCATTTAAATCAACGATTAACTCAATTCTGATCTACGCTTTTGATGCACTTATGCAATCTAATTGAAACCGCCATCATGTGCTAAGCCCCATTAAGCCGTATTAAGGGAGATGATAACATTCATCGCAAAATCGTTGTGTGCGTGTCGAGCTGTTCTTTTCCCTCGGCAACTTCATTCAAAACCAAACATTTTCGCGTTTCATTAAGCCGGCCACGCCCGATTTCTTTTTCTTCTCTTTATCCATATTTACACGTTTAGGCGACATCACCTGAGCATGACTGGTTATATTGAAAAAACACAATTCAGTTCAAAGAGAAGATTTAATTTCAAATGGAAAAGTGTCTCTCAATCCACCAGGATTCCGTTTCCTCTTCATGTCAAAACAAATTTCGTTGGCCTTTCTAATATCATAATTATAGGAATTATTACTGTTGAGGCGATATGGTAGCATGAAATTTAGAAACATCTCGTAGAATGTATTAAATCAAACATATTTTCCATAAATATTCTAAAAACTTGTCATCAAGGCAACGGTT